ACAACACGAACAGCTGATACAGCTCACGGAAACTCAAACGGACGTGGACAACCACCTCCTCCATCTTTGGCAGGCCCGCCGCAGTCTCACCAAACGATGGAAAAAACAGAAACATAACAGACGCCTCAAGAAACGCATCCTAGAACTCACGGAGCAAGCTGCGGAATATGCTGCTCAGCTAGCCGACACTAACTGGGTGGACAGGTGCAACACCGCTGCACGCCAGATGTCTGGTCGCAACACGTGGCGCCTGTTTCGCGCTCTCATCGATCCAACACAAACACGCACGGAAACTCAACGTCAGTTACATAAGGTCATGCACAACTTTACAGGAACGACAACACAGCTGGCAAACACGCTCAGGGACCGATACCTGTGCACCACCAAGGACCCCCGGACGGCCGCATACTCCTACGCAGGCAAAAAGAACACGCAGTTGGACACCCCGTTCCAGCTCCACGACCTCCAGGCGGCCTTACGCAAGATGAAGCGTGGCACTGCACCAGGGCGTGACCAGGTTACGGTCAAACTGTTGGCCAATCTTCCCGACGCAGCCTACGCCACGCTCCTCAAATACATCAATAGCATTTGGGACGGAGAAACTCCTCTCCCTCTTGAATGGAAATCAGCTCTCGTGACCTTCATCCCGAAGGCAGGTAAACCTATTAACGTGGAGAACCTTCGCCCCATCTCCCTCACGTCTTGTGTCGGCAAGCTGATGGAAACGATGGTGCGCGACAGACTCTCCGAGTTTCTAGAAACACAGCACACTTTTGCGGACACCATGTTTCGATTCCGCCCTCAGAAGTCAGCCCAGGATATACTTCTACAGCTCCACCATTATATATTAGATCCTGTTGAATGCCCCCACAATGACAAGGTAGTCCTGGCCTTGGATATTAAAGGGGCATTCGACAACGTGAAGCATGAGGTAAATCTTGACCACCTCAGTCAGACCAACTGTGGTTATAAAACATTCAATTATGTTAGACAGTTTCTTACAGACCGTCAAGCCTACATACGCATACAAGATGAGGAACATGGGCCTTACGTCATCGGCTCGAGGGGAACTCCTCAAGGCGCGGTCCTCTCTCCCCTCCTATTTAATATAGCCATGCTTCATCTTCCCCCCAAATTGGCTTCTTTACCAGGGATACATCACGCTCTTTACGCGAATGATATCACAATCTGGGCCACGCAAGGTAACCTGCGTCACATGGAGTCATGCCTGCAAGCAGCAGCGACTGTAGTCGACGACTACGCAACCTACTGCGGACTCCAGTGTGCCCCGGCTAAGTCAGAATTTGTGCACGTACGTCCCTCCCCTCAGGACACAACTCAGCTTCATATCAGTCTTCCCTCGGGACCGATCCGTGAGGCCAAGAAGATCCGCGTCCTTGGCCTCTTCATACACCACCAACGCAAGGCCGACACCACAATAGCCAAACTTCGCACGGTGGGAGACCAGGTGGGCCGTATGGTCTGCCGGGTCTCCAACAAGCGGGGCGGATTACGAAGCAGGGATGCAATGCGGCTTGCCCATGCTTTCGTAACGAGTAGAATACTCTACTCGACTCCCTACTTGCACCTACGCAAATACGAGGATGATCAACTCGAGGTCATCCACCGTAAAGTTATCAAGCGGGCTCTCGACCTCCCTATCACCACGTCCAACCAGAGACTTCTGGCCCTAGGCGTGGTGAATACCTACCGGGAACTTCGAGAAGCCCACCTCGTTAACCAATACACGCGCCTTGCACAGACCCATTCCGGTCGCCGCCTCTTGGACCGAATACACATCAAACACGATTACTATATTGAGGAAAGGGTGAGAGTGCCAGAACCTTGGAGACGCGCCCTCCGGGTCCGACCCCTTCCTCGCAACATGTCCAAAGAAAACCACAGTGGTCGCCGCCAGGCGCGCGCGGAAGCGTTGCAGCGACACTTTGGTCAAGAGGAACACGTGTGCTACGTAGACGTTGCCGGCCCGCACCATGGGGGGTGGTATACTGCCGCAGTCATACACAACGCAAACACCGTAAACGGGCTCACTTTCAAAGCCTACAGCGCAACACACGCGGAGGAGATCGCCATCGCTCTGGCTCTCACCTATCCCTCTTCTAAACATATCATCAGCGACTCACGAGGGGCCTGTCGGAACTATCAGCTAGGGTGGGCTTCACCGCTTGCTCGGCGCATACTGGAACCTAGCTGCCGATACCTTAATCCAACTCCGCGAAATCTGGTTTGGGCACCCGGTCACCAAGGACTCAGGGGTTACGAACGGGCCGATCAGGCCGCCCGCGCACTCTCTTCCCGGGCTATCTCCCTGTCTTTGGAAGCCTACTTGCAATCAGACAATTCGGCCCTCTCATTCAAAGATATTACCAATTACTACAAGGAGGAGCACCGGAGCTATTCAGACCCTTGTAAGGGACTGCATCGCGCTGACGAGCGCCTCCTTTTAAAACCGTTTACCAATACTGTACTGTGCCCGGCGGTGCTAAAACATTTCAATTCATCCTTTGATGGCACGTGCCAGTTCTGTGGGGAGGTGGCTGACACCTTTCACATTGTCTGGGCGTGCCAGTCTAATCCATCTATCCCCCCCAACCCCAATCCCACGAGAGAGGACTGGGAGGCGGCCCTGCTCGGCTGTCAAGACCTGAAGGCCCAAGAGGCTCTGGTTCAACGGGCGCGGGCAGCGTTGCTTGCCAATGGAGCCCCGGAATAGGGGTTCCACCTAGTGCTGTGAGGGTAGGAGGCCAATAAGGCCCCAACCCAATCACCTCTCTGTAACCATTTAATGGTTATTAAATGTTTTCACCGCCACCCCCGCATTCTTAAGAAAAAGTAGTGGGTGCATGGATAGTTCGAAAAGACTTCATACACCAAGTGTTTGAAGTACCCACTAGGAATAAGATATCGCTATCGCTTTCAACAAAAGAAATAATAAAAATTCTGGGTTCTATTGGCGGTCCAAACTGGGTCGTTCACACGGCAAAAGGGTAGTTCTACTATACTCCCACGCGTCGGCTTGTGAATACACTGAATGATAGTGAAATATTAGTCTTCATTGGCTTGTAATTGCAGTGAAAGTAGCTTTCATGCTTTAGAAACACACGAGTCCTATATACATGCATCATAATGCAACACGAATTATTGCAATAATAATGCAAGGACCCAGCTAACATTGTCATCGGGTGTCGGATCCTGTGTTTAATATATTGACTTCATGGTTTCAAGCCAGTCACCCACTACAAACGGCACACACATTACTGTGCCTATTCCCTTAAGGGGGCGTGGTGGGTACATAGCAAGTTCGACAAAGATTTCATGCACTGTTTGAAATACGCACTAGGAACAGCATATCGCTATCGCATTCGACTTAAGGACAGGAGCTCCCCATTCATTATGGTGCCAAATGACTCTGACATAGCCAATCTCTATCCTAAATTAATACTTCATTTTCATAACTTCATCACCAGCGAGTATCTCTCAAGCTAATCTTCGTTACCTTGCCTGTCACGATGGTCCCAATATTGGAGTCGCCCGCAGTGAGCTAGGCCACGTCCTATAGAGCCGTAGTAAGGTTGTTTCAATCGATTTATCAATCGATCCCTCAATCATTCAATCAATCAATCTGTCTATATATATATATATATATATTATATATATATATATATATATATATATATATATATATATATATATATATATATAAATATATATATTTATATATATATATATCTGTGTGTGTTTGTGTTCTTTCAAGTGACGGAATTAGAAGATTTGTTGTTGGTTAATTCACTTCTAACATGGTATTCTTAAGTTAATCGCTTCTTGGCCGATCCCCTCAGCATGTGCAATTAACACAGATGTCCTACATTTATGAGTAGAAGGAATATTCAAAACGCACTTTTTTTCATAGACCAATTTTAAGTGTAATGAATTCCGTGAACAGTGCAACTCTATTACAGATAATTACATAAGCATGGTATCTATTTTTCGTGCCCTGTATTCGTTTCTTCGCAAGTAGCCACAATCAGCCAAGTCCAACAGAGTGATGGGACAAGACAGTTATCAATAAAGCTCCTGTTAAAGACATTGTTGTTTCTTTCTTGATTTATGCCGAATTTTGTGTTCCCGTAAGATAAACGACCACCTGTTGTCAACATAATGGTGAACTGCTGTGCATCAAAAGGGGGGCGTTGAGGTCAGAAAACAATCTAGAGCACCTATCCGCACTCTTTTTTCTCATGTCCCTGTTTTAAAGAATCTGAGTTAGTAATAATGTAGTTTGTTCTCTTGGAGGCATCTATGGTTCCAGTGCCGTCATTGGGCACTTATGCTATTTTGTTACCTCAACGCTTCAGGAAAACCACCTTGTACCACCAACTGCAATACTTCTGTGTTTTTGGCGTGCTGACTGTTTAACTCTTTTCCTACTCCCTCTACCACTCCTCTTTTTGTGTTGGTTCTCTTACTTTCAGTGGCCTGATATTCTAGATTATCGACCTACGTTATTTTTGTATATTCATGGTTTCAAATGATTTACAATTATCAATATTACGTAAATGCTTTATCATTTATGGGCAATTGGCTATAGAATGAAGGCATGCCGGAGAAGACCAGTAGCTAGCTTTGTGTTCTTCTGTGGCAAGTTTCCGATTTGCTGACGCTGCTTTTTTGTTGTTTTGAACTACTTTTCTCGTCTTTGTCACGCATGCCTTTCCTCGCTAACCTAGATTTTTCTTCCTAAACTCGTCTCTTTTCACAAACCCAAAGGCATTTTGAGAATTCAGCTGGTGTTGTTTAATTTGTCTTTACTTTCTCTTCAGAGATTCTCGCCGCTACTATGGCCATTCTCATCCATCAAAAAAAAAGTACCACCAGCACTTCGCTAAAGCGGCGAAGGCACGGCGTCGTTTATTTCTGGCCGATTCCATCTCGCCTACCGTGGCCTCAAGTTGGCGCGATGTCAAAGAGAACGACGAAGAAGACGGCGGATTGCACGAGCGAGTGGCCGTTAGGTGTGCTCGAACACTGGGGGTGCGGGCTCCGGCGACGACGCGTGGGCGAGGTCCTGGCCCGAGGCACAGCCGCGCCGTCTAAGACCAGAGACACGTCAAGGCAGCCGCCGCTCCTGTAGGCCCGTGACAGAGTCGAGGTCGACGGTGACGCCTCCTCCCCCGCTGTTTGCCAGCACAGGTGAGCTGCACTCTAGGCAACACCAGCGTCGATAGGCCTGGTTAAGAATGAGTTTGTGTGTTTTGGTAGCACCGTGTAGACTAGAGTATATTTGAAATTGTAGGAAGTTAGAAAATCACCGAAGCACAAGCTCACGGCTTCTGCAGGAATAGACTCCATGAATTAGAAGCCATCTTTCGTACAACTGGCCAAGTTTTGCGGTAGGCCCTATCTTAACAGGCGCACTGGGCCAACGAATCTGCTGACATGATTTTTACCAAATCTTTTTGAAATGGGGAATGATTTAGACTCTTGTCGCTACCGTAATGCGTAAAGGGTTGCAAAATGATTTTGTAGAGCCAATGAACCAAACCGAAAATGAGAAGTTGAGCGACAAAACCTAAAAAAAGCTTCATGTTGTCATATCGCCATAAGACACTTGTCAGAGTGATTACGCTAATCCTGGCACGTTTGTGAAGGTCACGTAGGAAGAGCTTGTCACAATACGCTTGTTTTAAAATCGCACCATGAATGATTTTAGCGTCAATACATTATTCAGTGTGAACGGTTTACTATTTTAATTATGAAAAGAAACAGTGCTGTTTCAAGGTCGCACGCCGTGAAGGTCACGTCATGGTGAATAGTCGTCAGCCTATCATATTAGCAATGTTTAAGTAAATAGCAGTCTTCTCTGTCTCAATAAGTTTACACATGAATTTTGGCATCAGGTTTCGTGTAGTGTAACATTTTCATGAGAGTGTAATTTTCTAAACTATATGCTTGTATACTATTTGCTTGATATGCGCAAATATTGCTAGGTATGTTAAGTGTTTTTCTCATAGTTGTCTGGTGGTCTCCACTGTCCCTTGAATTTTTTAGGCCACCATTCACTCGTTTATCACGACGCTTACTCACATGTAGGGGTTGTGAAAATATGCAAGTTTTTGTGGCCGTGAATTTGTAGTGAGTCTTTATTTCATCAGCAAACATGCATTTTTTTAAAGTGGTGCCCCATGCCTTGATTTCATTTCGTTTACCAAAACTAAAAGGTTAACCTACCCAATGGTTTAGTATTAAATGGTACAGACTTCACATGACAGAACACTGCCCATGCATTTATTTTGCCGTCTCTACCAGGCTTCGTGAAAGAATAACCACCATGTGCTGTCGCTGCAATGTGAGATTATTCTTCAAACTCCTTTACCTGATGACTCTATCAAACGCCAAAGTTACCACCACCGAATATGCATGTGAATCAAGCCATCACAAAACGCAAAATTAGCACACGTCCAGTATGCAGTTGTCTGTCCTTGTAAATGGTTAATGCACTCCTCGCATAGTAATGTAGGCGTCTTTCAGTGAGAAACTTTCATTGATAGGTGCACATTCCTCCAGTGTTTTCCCATTCCTTTAACGCGTTCGTTAACAAGTTGCTCTCTGGGAAATGTGGAATTAGCCAGATGCGGTACTTTCATGATGTATTTCACTACCGAAAAGTAGTATGCGTTTACATTTGGGAAAAGTTGCATCTTGACAAAAATAAAAGGGCCACGGGGGTAAAGAATGTTTTTTTGGATGACTTGCACGCAGTAGTTGTGTACAGTGAACATGCTCTGCAGCCAGACCTATGTTGGTGGACGCATCACTTTCCTCACAAGTTGTGCACGATGCTGTGATGGCGTTATATTTTCACATTGATTTTACTGTCAAATAGGTACGGGATGTTGCTTTCTCATAGGCGGCTTCAGGGATGCACCGAATACATTTGCTCATGCAGTGCATCTCCTCTGGAAACATGTTCCTTTTGGTGTGCATTTCTTTACTACTAATAACTTGCATTTCCTTGTTTCGTGTGTTTCTTAGTAACTCAGCATGTCAATTACTTCAATATTGCAAATACCAATTTTCACTCTAGAATGTTCATCACCAAGTTTCACAGATAGTTCAAATAAGCTCAACGAGCCAGTCACCTATTTGTGGCTTACCCCATTAACCATTCAAGAAAAGCAACTTGAGTACATAGATTAGAAAAGCACGCTCTTGCTTTTATGGCAACCTAATCATTGTGCTATGCACAAAACATCGCTGTTTTTAGCTGACAGTTTGTTGCGACTTAAGTTATGTGAAATTCCTGCTTTTAGACCCCATATCCTTGGCTCACTTTCGTGGTTATTGCGGCTTTTTGTTTGTAAGGAGCAATGCTGTCATGCGCCATAACGTCAATGACCCGTTTCTGGTCTCCTAAGGTAAAGCATCTTATTTGCATTCCTGTAGACAACACAAGTGAGTTTTCTGTCTAGGTATAATAGCTTAACGCTTTAAGAGTGGCATATTGGTAAAGCCATGAAAAATTATTGTCCATTACATTACAACCCCTTATTGTCCCTATGTCCTTGCTCTGTAGGTCTACTCTAATGCATTTCCAACAACCACAAGGCCCTGTAAGCTTCACGCAACAGCGTCAGCTCAACACTGAAGGAGAAGAGACATGCCGTAAATTTATTCATGCCCTAAACAACCTATTATGAACGCCTTCTCTTCTAGAATTAGGGCAATCTTGTATGACAGAGCTAAGAAAACAAGGTGGTATGGCTAGGTGACCATTTTATGTAATTATAAGTTAAAGAATGTAAGTAAACTCGAAGCAGCAACTGTCTCTCAACGCATAGAACACCTCACAAGAAATTGCTCCTGAAATCTTTTGCGCCAGCGGCTTAGCATTAGTCGTGCTTTTTTAAGCTGTATCATCCTGCCTATAAGCAACTTTAACTCGCAATACCGCTTATGAGCACTCAACTGATCAGTTCAACTCACTTTCAATAAGCACTACACGATCAGTGCCCCTAAGCTTAATTCCCATCTTACTTCTGCAGGATCAACTGAAGTGGCACCATGTTTTCTCGTATGTTCCTCAAGCAGGCCGTGATACCCTTCACTGTGGGGGCATGGTAAGTGGTGGACTTGATTGTGCCCCAGAACTGATCGGTTCGCGATTATTCCGTGAAAGAATGAAGTGTATCTTCATTACGGTGCTTTAGATATACAACAAAGCTCATACAAAAAGTGGTCGCACATTCGGAAACCTGGCACATTGCTTCTCGAGATTGGCATACAGTAGTTTTATTTTTCTCAAATGATTTACATTTTTAAATAAAAATACAACACAAAGGCACCTGCCGTTTTCGCACACTTACTCAATATAGGACGGAAACTATTTTGCGGCAGTTAGGATGGCGCTATTGTGACTAATTGCCAAATGCTAGTCAGTTAAATATTTAGTTATTGACTTAAGAGCAGGTTTTATATTACGAAGCTGTATTGCGTGCCAACCTGTTTTCCTAAACACTACAGTTTCACGTACCATATATATCTTCCTCGAATTTCAAGTGGGAAACTGAACCTGATCGCACAAGGCTTGCACGAAACATGATACCGGAATTATTCGCCACAACTGAGTGACGAAACTTGAATGATGGCTTACCGCGGCTACATGTTTCGCGAGAAGCTGTGCCATGTCACTTGTGTTTACGTTTTGTCTTACTTTTGCGCGTACTGTTGAATGCGAAGCATTTCTTAGTGAACGTCGGCGCCTTTGAGCGTATCTATCTATCTATCTATCTATCTATCTATCTATCTATCTATCTATCTATCTATCTATCTATCTATCTATCTATCTATCTATCTATCTATCTATCTATCTATCTTGCCTCCTACGACTTTTAGCTCTCCTGGTCACTTCCATATAATAACACCAAAATTCGCAAGGCATAATATGACGGCAGGATTAGCTTATTTGACAAGTCATAACATAAAAATCATAATATGTATGTTATGAGTGTCATGATATAAATTTCATGGTCTTGCTGCTCTTGCAGTAGTTTCGTTCACATGTACTGCAAAACTGGTATGGTTATACACGACTCCATGGGGACCGTGAAAAACCCTAACGTGCAAATCATTACATGCACGTCTTGTAAGCCATGACTGCACGTCATGCTCATGGTGCGCTCACCTGTCGTTTAACTAGCTTCACGTATACCAAATTTGATATTACGTGACAAGAATGGACGACGAAAGTAAATGACATGTCCAAAGTAAGGCAATCATGAGATGCGAGTCATGTAAGAAGATGACTACATGCCGCGCTCATGATGCATGCGGCCGTTTTGCTAGCTTCACATATACCAAATTTGTTATTACGCGACGCGAGCAGACGACGAAAGTAAATTACACTTCCAAACATGATATTCATGGCATGCGTGTCATGTAAAGAGCATGACAACATAGAACACTCATGATGCACTTCGGGCAGTTTGGCTCGCTTCACATATACCAAATTCGGTATAACTTGGTGTGAATAGATGGCAAAGGTACATGACTGCTGCAAACAAGATAATTTTGACATGCGTGTCATGTTAGAGTTTGACAACATACCACACTCATATGCGCTCGCGGCCGTTTCGCTAGCTTCACCTATGCCAAATTTGGTATTACGCAACGTTAATCAACGACAAAGGTAAATGACACATACCAACGTGATAATCCTAACATGTATGTCATGTGAAACATGATTACATGCTACGCTCATAACGTGCTCCCGGCCGTTTCGCTAGCTCCACATGTACCGAATTTGGTTTCACGTTATGTCAATAGACGACGAAGGTAAATGACGTGTCCGAACATTATAATCATGATGATGAAGTCATGTATGGCATACTTTACATCCGCCTCGTAACCTTGTGCGCAACAATGTGTGCGATGCTGATAAACCTTTCTCATTCGTGCTTCGCATACCATCGATCCCCACTGTACGTGGGATCTGCCGTTTGTGGTGCTCATCCCTTTCTTTCGACCTCCACTGAAAAAATCTACAGTATCAATCATTCTTTGGGAAGTATAATACTCAAGGGCAACCACAGTGGTGGTGCTTCTTGCACACAGGCGAAATAATTTCGCGTGCCGCTCAATAGATTAGGAAATAAACATGTCATTATCATCGATAGCAGGCAAAAGTGAGGTCTGTGTTTCAGAAAGATTGCCAATTTTTTCGACCCGACTTCCTTTGTCGCACCTTTGTTCAAAGGTAGCCACTTCCATGTCACGTGCCGTTTCGTCGTTCCACACCGCACGCTTTGACCACGCCAGGCACGATCTGTTTCAATTTCACTCTTCAAGATTGATGATGAATATCTTCCTTCTCCCTCCTCTCGGAAGACTCTGTGTTTTTGAAATTGCTTTAAACATCTCAGTTTCACCGTCAGGATGAAGCAGTGACTGTGATGGCAGCAAATTGTAATAATATGCGAAGTAAGGCTAGCTTCAAGCTCATTTTCATACAATGTCTTAAAACTCTACAAAACGCTGGTGTAGAAAAATACGGCTGCTCCTGAGAGGAATATTTTTCTCAAAGAGTCTCTTTGCGTTGGGAGCGTTGCACGTATAAAAATACAACAGGTAACTAATGATACACGCCCTTATTATTGCGCGTGCGCCAGCAATCGAGATCGCGTCCTTAGAATCGAAGTTTGCCGTCACTTCTGTAATGAGACTCCCTCCTCACGCCCACACTGCTTTCTACGCTGCTCTAAGCTCGGTTATTACAGGCGGCATGTTTTTCTCTCTGCTCGAGCACTTAATGGCAGGCATGACACGCGGGCAATGCTATCTCACGGGCCCTTCGAAGGACGGAAGTGGGCCAGCTCGTTTGACCTCTGCTTCAGCCACGTTGAACGACTTTGCTCGCGCACGTTTACCCGTGGGTAGAACATAAAGATGCGTGGAGAAATTTGTGAATTTGGACTTCATATGAAACATGACGATTTTAAATGACTAGCAGCAACCAATATGAGTTACTATGGCACTTTGCCGCGCTATTCTTTGCTCATCCTAGCGCTCTGCGATCCCGAGCTCCATCGGTGGCGTTCCTTGTATGGTGTTCACTGTTTTCGGGTGTTGCGTGCGCTGTCGGATGGAGCAGTGCACGTGCCACGTTCCTAACGCATTTTCACGGTGCAAAGTTTACGAAAAACAAAGGTGATACGGAAGTTGCCGGAACCTTCGTGAAAAACTTTTCATTAGCGTCTTTACTCCCAGTGAGCATGCAACAAAACCCTGAAACAAGAATCATGGTCGCCTTACGACCACAACTTTCATGTTCAACAAAAAGATACAGCGGCGAAGCGCTTTTAATTAATACTGACGTGGCACTGCTGACTCACAAATTAAATACATTTTGTCCTTACGCCTCACTCGGACTCGGGCTCATCAAAATTTTTTTCACAATCGGACCGACTTCCACTGGGACTCACGATACGCAAGACAGAAAGAAGCGAGTAGTATATTAGTAGAATTAAAAAGCAACGGTGCCCCTGACTTACCGTCATAATCTCGTGAAGAACACCAGCCTCCTCTTCATCTCTTCTTTTGCCATGGCACGCTCATGCGCCATGTCTCGTAACAATATCATTGGCTGGAATTGAGTAAGGTGGTTGTTAAATGCGGAGCGTGTCTTAACAGCACGATGTCGCGCATCGGCGTCAGCGGTGGTGCCGTCCACACCCCTACTCATGGCGTCTCGAGCCGCGTGCCGGCCCAAGAATACACGCCCGAAACTGTCGCTGTCCATCCTCCTCTCTCGTCTTGGGATTCGCTCGGAGGATTTCAAGCTGGACGGTTGTGCCCTCGCGATCTCCGACTTCAGCGTAGCTCCCGCCGACTGGTTCGCCCTCCGCGGTCTCCTGATGCCGTGCAGCTCTCGCATTGTGGCACCCCGCCCTTGGACTGCTTCGACCGGATCCCCACTTTCCTATCTCCTTCTTTTTTCCTCTCGTTGGCTGGCGGCTTCTTCTCCGTCTATTTTCCTTCTATTCTTTTTACCCCTCCTTCCTTCTCTCTATATCTTTTATTCCCCATATCCCATTCCTCTGCTGACCTGTTGAGGTGTCCTCGTAAGGAGAGACAGTTACGGGTCGGCACCTTTCTTTTCTTTTCTTCTGATATAACCACAATCTCTCTCTCGTCTTGCAAAGCTGACGCAAGCAGCGTCTGCTAGTAAAAAAAATGGTAGCATATCCACGGGGTGAGCGCTTGTGAGTGGGGCGAAGCACTCGTCCGTCCATTCGTTCTTGCTTCCGTCCGTCCATGTGTTCGTCTATGTGACCATCCGTGGGTCCATCCGCCTGTCCGTGCGTTCATCCCTGCGTTCGTCCATGCATTCGCCCCTGCGTCCCGTCTGTGCAGCCATCCGTGCGTCCGTCCATGCATCTGTCTGTGTGTCCGTTCGTCCACCTAGTCAACATTCCAAGTACCACCATCTCGCCTGTTTTCATCATATATTCCGCATATAGAAGCACCGCCATCCAGTGGACATTTCAAGGACTAAGTGAGAGGTGGCACACGCGCACTTTCTTACGGCTTGAGCTTCGTGTCTACTTCCCACCTTTAACCACCTCGTGTTCATGGTATCTACTTGTTCACTTTATCATGGCACTGCGGCCCAATGCTCGCTAAACCTTTCTAAAACCAAAGAGGTTACACCCAGCGAGTACGTCGTAGCAACCCTTTCTTGTCAGAGAGTGCTCAATGTACATGTCAATGGCTGCTAATATGGAGTGAGAGACAGGAGATGTCAGCTTTTAGTTAACGCGCACGCTGAGAATTTTTTATTGTCGAACAACGCACAAGAGAAATCTCCCATCAGCACCACCTTGCAGGTGAAAGCGTAACTGGTTACGCAGCACGACTACGACAAGGGATGAATGGGTGCCGCTTTAAGGAGCGTCGCCCCTAAAACAACTGCTAGTACAGCACAACCATTCACTGGCCACCCCGTATATGCGGGCACTGGACCTCGCGTCATGAATTCAGTCAAGGGCATCTTTGCTTGGTTTTCGCTTGACGTTGAAGGCAACGCTTCTCCTTCATTCAATAATAGGAATAATAAAAACGAAATATTGATTAAGCATTCTCGAACCATACTCAAATATGCAACATTAACGTGATTCACTTCTCAATTTGCGACGAATTTACTTGAGTTCATCCGTGAAAAGATGCCGGCGGCATTTTTAAGGAAATATGTGAGTTCCGTGTGGTATTTTAAGAACGTGCAGAGAAATAGTTTTCGTGGTAGTGATCATGGCACTTCGCTCCTCCTATGTAAATAAAGTCTGGTCAGTCAACATTCAGCTGACGCAGGAACACTAGGGTGTTGAATGCATGTATATAGGCGACATAAGGCTCATTGCAGTGCTGACGCTGTGTGATTGGTGCCATAGTGCGGCAACGAAATGTTGGCACTCAGACTCACTATGGCACTCAGACTCACCCAGCAAATATAATTATCTTTGTTTTATCCTCAGAGTAACATTAAAAAAATCCATGGCTGACTTCACCATTTATTTACTGAGTTCAAAACAGCGGACGTGTAGCAAGAGCATATTCGGATCCCAGCGGGAGGTCGCTTTTACATGGGGGCTGCCACGTTGATTTGTAACCACATTTACTGGTGGTAACTGACACAAATAACTAAATCCATGAGAAATGAATAAAAAATATACATACATTGTGTAAATGTGGCGTAACGCAAACCCAAGAAACACATATTTTAGCAACGCTGTCAATTTTATGGCACTTATATCTGGGACTATATTTTGCTGCGCAAGCCGGTGTCTTTCTAACTGCCTCACAGCTCTTGTAATGCTGAGCGACACCCGTGCAACAGAATCTGCTGTCCCTCCTAGGAGCTTTTCTTCTCATGGCGGCCAAGGGAAGAGCAAAGATGGCAAGGTTGATCAGGTGACCCTTGACAAGCTGGAGGCAGACTTCAAGAAGCTCCAAGGTGCCAGCAATTGCCACTCCCTGCTGAAGAAGTACCTCACAAAGGATGTCTTTGACAAGCTCAAGACTCGCAAAACTGCCATGGGTGCCACGCTTTTGGATGTCATTCAGTCTGGTGAGCAATTGCACACTTTAGTTTCACGCTTCCATGAAAACATTCTCACGGCAATTCTTCGCGAATTGTCATCCTAATCTATCGTGTGTTGAATGCGTTATCTCACTTACAAGTGTTTTAATACATTCAAGAGTCTGAAGTAGTGTTACTCTTGCAAGTACACCCAATTTTTAGGTGAAGAGCGACTTGACATCAGCCGCAACGAGTAATATTTCACGTCAACATCAGGGCACCTGGTTCACTGGCATGTGTATATACTCAAGGGATCGCATGTGAATTTTTGTTTGGAACATCCGTGAAAACATCATCAGCGGTTGACTACCAGCACACATTAGTATATATTTAAAAGCTTCATTGCTCATACAAATGTACCTTTTTACGAAAATTGCGATAAACACAGAGGTCATATTCATTACGCGCATGGCGCAGATGAATATTTAAGAATGCGCCAAGCGTGATAGGCTGTGGTAAAACAGATGGTCTAATATATTCATATCGTCATCATCAACAAGACCGCCAACACAAGAACGTGACGCGGTAACATGTGCTTTATTTATAGTCGTACGATTCTCGGTGACCCGATTGAATACGTTAGCGATTCAGGAAAAGCGGAAATCATACTTCGGTGGCCTTGTACTATGTCAGCCACCTTTAGCTGAGGATAAAAGACGCGTCGGAATGGGTAAACAAAACAAGCATTAACGCAAGTCATATGAATGGAAAGCAGTGCTGTTGCAATACCTGTCACCAGCTCAAAGAATCGTTGATGTTTTGTTATCTATAGACACGATGGCCAAGATTTCTTACACAATAATTTCAGAGTGCACAACCATAACAATAATAATCGTTGGGGTTTCACGTCCCTAAAACATCCTATGATTATGAGAGAAACTGCAGTGGAGGGCTCCGAAAATTTTGACCTTTAGGCTGTTTTAACGTGAACCTAAATCTAAACGCACTGGGCATCAAGCGTTTCCTCCTTTATCGAAAACCTGGCCACCGTGGCCGATATTCGCTCCCATGACTTGCGGATCAGCAGCACAGTGCCTTAGCCACCAGACCACTGTGGCGGATTAAGCATAATAATTAAATGTATACTTCAATTCTGGTTTTCTGTTCACTAAGCGAACGCCAAAAAGTCATATAAGCATTTGCACTCAAGGTGCGATGTGTTGGAAGTATGAAGCAGTGATTCGCTTGCACCTCAGCGACGCTAGCTTTCATGGGCAGGGTGTGCGATAGTTGTACGAACGTACAGCCACTTTGGTGTCTGTTGCGGTAAAAGAAACGCTCAAAATATCCTTTCCCCTTTTTGTTTCTTTCATGCCTCAACTAAAGCTCTTTTCTTCACCCTCACGCATAGGATATTATATCTTGGCTCCTTACGTGTTTTGAAGGCACAAATCGATTTCTCTATAGTGGAAACACTAGCAGAAAGTAGCTCAAGAGTTCTCATTTTTCAACAATATATTACGAACTATACAATACCACCGACATGCAATCCTTGCATCGAGTCATGATTCTAGCAACCAAACTCAATATTGAAGAAATAATATGTTGCTAAGTGCTGTAAACTAGATTCCTAGAAACTATTAGCGCATTAAAATAGTCCAAAAGGACTCAATAAACGTAATTCTGAGCAAGCACAGCGCGCATGATCAGTTCTATCAACGAAGTAAAAACAACAGTGGAAAAAATATTGCTTTCACCTTTGGGTCACCTGAGTCGAGTGCGTGAGAAACTATGTCATATTTAGTTTCATAAGGCAGCTTCACGAAAGCCAGTGACCAAGTGCATTTTATTGTATTATCAGAAGGTTTCCGTACCGAATCCACGATAAGAATATGAGGCTTACTGTAGTGATTATTATCGGATAACGTGCGACAAAATCGCACAGCACTCGCACCTTCTTTCGCCTTCTTCGAAAAAGACTATCATGGGTGTGATTCAACTTGCGTCCTTAGGGTCAGCAACCAAATGCCATAATCAGTGCAACACCAGTGACCAGCAGTGAGAATATTACAAAAAAAACAAAGAATCAGTGACTTTCAAGTTCTCTCCACATGAACATTTAATCTAATAGTACTCTTGCATTCACACTGACAATAAAAAAATTGGAACACTCTTTTGCGTATTACCGCAAAGCGTCGGCAGTTTGTGCCTTCTAGCTTAGAAAAATACGTGTAGCAAATGAGTTTTTTCATGATTTAATGAGTTTTTCATGAGATATAGTGATCTGATACATGTCAGGTCCCACGTCCTCCTTTCTTTAATTCTTGCAGGCGTGGAGAACCTGGACAGCGGCGTAGGCGTGTACGCACCAGACGCCGAGTCTTACACGGTCTTTGCTGAGCTGTTTGACCCGGTGATCGATGACTACCACAAGGGCTTCCCTCCTGGCACCAAGCACCCGCCCACGGACTTTGGCGACATCAACACACTGGTCAACGTGGACCCCAGGAACGAGTTTGTCATCTCCACCAGGGTGCGCTGTGGACGCTCGCTGCAGGTCAGTGCTGCGCTATCCTCCCTCTTGAACAACTGAAGAGTCACAATGGGCACGACCATTGAAATTCCGCCTAGCATCAAACAACGTTTACGGGATGCGTTCAAGTGAAACGAACACGTACCGCTCGTCATGTACGAAACAGCCACTGCCATTTTTTAAAACCATTTTTGCAGGCTTCGTCAGAGGCACCACTGAAGCTTGTTTCACTCCTGAAGCCACCCAGACCGACTGTCTGTAATGGTTGGTAGGAAAGAAATAGCATGAAAGGAAAGCTGATCTTTTTTCATCACACCAATATAACTTACAATCAACGAACGAGTTGCGCAGTTCATGAGAAACAATTTGCTGTGATCAGTGCAATGGTTAGGGCCTTAGATTGTAGTGGTTAAGCAAGCATGTACGCCGTCGTAGAAGGGAATGTGCGAGTAACATTGTGAAGCAGGTGGGATTTGGAAAGTCTACAAGGGGTGAGCAGCACCTTCAGTGGTCTAGATCGAGCTAGTTCGCAGTGCTTCATAACGTTTCGTTGCCTAAAAATAACGAATCAGACACTGCAAGAGCGGACATACGCGAGCGCTGACTTCCTTACAAAGATCCGCTTTACTCGCAAGATTTAAGCACGAACTGATACGCGCAAACTGTTAAGCACAAACTTTCACTGTGGTCGCATCACCCGTAAAAATCAAAAGAGACGGGAAGATGGGGTATAGTGACAGCAGCTGCTTATCACCATCTTGACAGTGTGATATCTGCGTTCGGAAAGTGGTTTATTCTTTAAGAACTGGGCTTCTGATTGCTTATGTTTAAATTTTATTGTAGCTCGTACAAAAACTCTAAGGTAGGGAACAATAAGTGCTAACTACATCCTTTCTTCCTACAAGTAATATTGTCTCATTTTTGTGTGTCCTTGTTTTTTTTTTGTACAGGCTAGAAAATTGTTTAAGCATATATTGATGCCATCTCACACAGCTATCATTTTCTCTGCAATTCACTTCACCCTTTTCTTTCCGTCAGCGAGTGTAACACTGATGGTGACTGTTTTCAACACATCTCACCTACTTAAGGAAAACATACCTAACACGCTAACAATGCACTGTGTGTCCAAATATATGAAGTAAAGAAGCGTTCAATCCTATGCATCTTAATAAAGTTCGTGGGGAGAAAACGAGGACACAACATAAAGGAATCATATCATAATCATATGCACTTATTTGCGGCTTGCGCAGATGTATAATCAATTACTCCTTGAAAGAATGTCAACTCCTTAGCATTCATTGTAAAATGATGCAACTTTTTCCACTGCCAAACAATAGCAGCCCATTTTATTACAGAATCACACGTAGTTTCCTAACAATGAACAATTTGAAAGATATCATCTACCGTGCTTTCAGTAATCTTTAACATTAACTAGCTATCAACCTACGGGCACAGAAAGTTCATTTAGTCAAATTCTCACAGTATAACGTGCTTTGTTTGTTTTTTCACAAAGGTTTTCTTGTACTAAAGTGGAAATGACACAATTAGTGAGATTCACAACTTCAATCTAACATTGTGTGGCAGTGACACAAGATTATTAGTGAATGCTGTCCGACCCGATAATTTATTATAATTTTTTTCTGCAGTTATCGTCAAGAAAAGACAACGAAAAGTAGCGCCTACTATTGTCGCAATAATTCATCACCTTGCAGCAACAAGCAAAGCTGCATGCGGTTGCAGACGTCGGTAACCAACGTGAGGAGGTGCGAAGGTGCTTTCGCCTTCATTCACCTCACCTCCTTTTTTTTTTTGTCTACAAGCCGCGAACCTTGGGTGGCGCGAATTATAGGCACCGTTGTTTTGTGGATACAAACACAGTCAGAATGAATCGGGTTGAAGTATATAGCAGATATAAGAAGGAATCAGTCAAGCATACTGAATGTGAGACTTTTATATTTGATAAAATATTCTGTAATGGGGTTCCTGTTGGGAGGAAGAAGTGAGCCAAAACGACGCTGCCTTATGCTACTGTAAGGCATCTCTCGCCGCCGTGCTTTCATCCATGTGTGCTTTCCGGTTCACCTGCTCAGTCACAACACTGTCATTGCAGTAGCAGTTGTTGCCACACACCTTCCTCGTGAATCGGTATCCGACAAGTTTTTAACCGTTTGCGTGTAACCTAAAGTTATTTTACTCGTCCATTGCAATACACAGGGTTACCCATTCAACCCGTGCCTGACCGAGGCCGAGTACAAAGAAATGGAGAAGAAGGTCAGCTCGACGCTCACCTCTCTTCGTGGAGAGCTCAAGGGCACCTACTACCCCCTGACGGGAATGAGCAAGAAGGTGCAGCAGCAGCTCATTGACGATCACTTTCTGTTCAAGGAAGGAGACCGCTTCCTGCAGGCGGCCAATGCCTGTCGCTTCTGGCCCATCGGACGAGGCATCTACCACAACGATGCCAAGACCTTCCTCGTGTGGGTCAACGAGGAGGACCACCTGCGAATAATCTCCATGCAGAAGGGTGGGGACCTGAAGGAGGTGAGGGCGCCTCTTCAGCTCTTTGTTGTGCGCTATGCATGACGACTATGGCTGTTTGTGTAACCATATGTGTCACAGGGCGCCAACAAAATTCCGAGTAGCGAAACAACGCCACGCCTGCACGGAAAGCGCAGTACATTCAGAGTTAAAGCTAGAAAAGCGGCCTTTTCAGAGCCTTTGCAGAACACCCATTGGGTAACTACTGCAAACACACTTGCTTGATACACACTAGGACATTAATAATAAACTTTTGGGTAGTAATCTGGCATTCGGTATGCTATTTTTCGTCATTCTTCTGAGAAGCGCGGTATCCGCTAAACAATTGCAAGGAATTTTGTGCCAATTGTTCGCACAGTGGCTGACGATGATGAAAATTGTGGCTAAAGTGACTGTGCGCCACGTTAATAGGCGAACAAGAACAAGCTTTCGTAATGTGTTGGAGCAATGAACGGCCCACTCGTTACGCTACTCGCATTGTGCGACGACTGTTTGTTCTTTCGATGTTGTGAAACGCTTTATAAGTCGTACTAAGGCGATTGCTTTCCCGACATCAAGCCTGCCTAATGAAAGTTTGCCGAAAAGTCAGTACCACCAGCGTAGCTCAGTGGTAGAATACTGGGCTGATACCCAGCAGACCCCGGTTCGAGCCTTTGGTGCTTGCTTTGCCAACAAGTCACAGGCACTGGCGAAGCTCAGTGGTAGAATACTAGGCTGACACTCAGCTGACCCTGCTTTTGAGCCCCACTGTGTCTTAGGTGCTAGGCAGTTTTTTATGTAATGTCCTGCGATGTAATTATGGACACTGGTGGCGGCGGTGGCGGTGGAGAACTGCGTGTGGTCCAAGTAGTGATCTTATAACAGCTTTCACTGAAAAAATTGGAAAGCGAGCGTAATCGTTGACTCAAATCAGAGGTACCGGTCCTCGCCCGCCTGCGTTTGTTTGCCCTTGAGTTAACCATGCGTTTCGTCACACTGTGAAGTTGGACCTCAAAGACCACATAGAAAAGACTAAGTGGTTGAGATCTCTTCCGCCAGGTATCGCAATAATCCCAGCTGCTCACCGGAAGAGGCTTTGTTCTTCAACTAATATGTATTGTTCATCCCGATAGCTAAACTACTCTTATCATGAGTAATCTCAGGCTTCGGTATTTACATAGCCTATGCAAATCTACACCTTTACTGAGATAGCGGATATTGCAACAGTTTCAATTCTTAATTAGGCAAGTTTTTTGTTATTTAAATAAACGCAATTGCCTGACCGAAAGTACTTAGATCAAAAACTCGTTGCTCGGCGACTAAACATTATTCCGCTCTACTTTCAGTGTGGTACTTCACGCTCCGGCAAATGTCTTTAGCAAATGTGTAGCAACCTGTTGCATCTAATGTTACGGCGCTATTTATTGCATAAATACATAGGTGTTGTCAAGATAGCGCTAGTGTATAAGCTCTGCAGAGGTAGCTGTTTTGTGCAAAATCTGAAACACCTTAAAAGAGGATTGTTACTTGTGGGTTTCAGTTGCCTCCAGCTGATGTACTTTGTGAGAAATATTAATATGTGCATAAGGGATGCCTCATACTCTCTGAAATTGACTATTTGCAGATACCTGCAAGGCGACTTTCCTCCAAGGTATATTCCTGCCAAAACCTCTCGTGTACAGACTGCTTTCCTCATTAACTGTGCTCTCACCTCTCCTAATTCCAGTGAAGGCACCCGAGTGCGACAAGACGATTCATTCCCCCAACAATTATTTCGGGGATGCCCCACCGAATACGAAGCCACAGCATAGAATCGCCTGTTATAGCGCGAGATCAGGGCGACGACAAAGAGACAAGAAAAAGACAACGACGCCACCGCCGCCACTGACGACGACCTTTGTCATCGTTCTGATCTCGCGCTATAAGAATCTTCCTGTCATGCCAACTAGCCCATCCACCACGATTCTATAATCGCATGGTGCAGGCACCATGTGATCGTAAGTTTAAGGCACCATGTTGTCGCTCGTAAAGAAAAGGGTAGGGTTGCGGTGAATAGCAGAAACACAATGAGTGAAAAAAGTGAAGAATGAGGGGACGAGAGCTATTGGTTGGGAAACATCTTGGTTAGTAAACAACCTTGCAGGAAATCCTCCTTGCAGATGCTTCCAAGTGGTCAATTCTACTGAATGTTCGGACCCCAGCGCACTTTCGAGGAGAGCGTAACTGAGGAGAGCATGGCTACCGATAACACACCTTATCACTTGCATCTTTACAGGTGTATGGTCGCCTGGTTAAAGCGGTGAAGGAGATAGAGAAGAAGTTGCCCTTCGCGCGGGACGACCGCTTCGGGTACCTGACCTTCTGCCCCACCAATCTGGGAACCACTATTCGTGCGAGCGTGCATATCAAGTTGCCCAAGCTTGCCGCCAATAAGCAGAAGCTGGAGAAAATTGCTGCCAAGTACAACCTACAAGTTCGAGGTACGTCGAAGAGTCTCCCTTTGCAATTGGGTTGAGGGCCACATCACGTTTTCAGCTCAGTTTCATTCATATCCCCCACTAGCTCCCTCTATGAACAAGTAAGATAGCTAAACAAACATCACGAACGCTAGTTCTCTCTAGCATACTTGAGAGCTCGGCAGCCCGCTCAGACAAAAACCACGTTTAAACGTGACGAAAACTTTCACATCAAGTGTGGCTAGGCGGCAGACGAAGGCGTCAATTTTATCTTCCCATAGCAATATATATATATATATATATATAATATATATATATATATATATATATATATATATATATATATATATATATATATATATATATGTGTGTGTGTGTGTGTGTGTGTGTAAAATCCTAGATCAGTCATTTTTTTCTATTCACATCTGAACTACTGTCAACTTGTCTGGGGTACGACTTCATTCTCAAATTTGCAAAGAGTTCATGTTATGCAGAAAAGATATCTATGAAATGTTTATAATGCTTAAGATATTGCAACAACTATAAGGTTCTTTCATAAAGGTGGTATTGTAACAGCTCACAAATTATGCTATTATCGGCTCAGTATTATATATAAATACGAAGGAAGACATAGCACACTTAAATTAGATACCCTAGCACATTTGAAAATAATTCACCACTACTATAAAACGAGACATAGAGAGTATTGGAAAGTTGTCACACCCCGTTTGTATACTGGTATAGAGCGTATATGTTATTCTTTACCATCATTCTTAAACCATTCTCCGCCAATTCACTTTGATTTGTTTTGTTGCTCCTCAGCTGTACTTGGATCTGTGTTTGTATAAGAAAGCTAATTTTATTGATCCTGGCGTTGTAATGTTGTGTGCTTTTTTGCAGGCTATTGTATCTTGCTTTTATTCCGCACTAATCATATGCTTCCATGTTTTCGTTTAGTGAACTCTTTTTTCTGTTGCCCACATGCCTTAGATTATTTTTGGCTACGGACTAGCCAAGCCGCCTCTCGGCAGCTTTTTTTTCGTTGTCCTCATCTGTTAGTACAAGTGGAAATATATATATATATATATATATATATATATATATATATATATATATATATATATATATTGATAGTACACCTTTAGTGGTGAGCAGAAGAGACGTTTACTTTGTGGAAAACGTAGCGGTAGAACCGACCAGCTGTCAAGCGGAGCGAGCGCGAGCAGCAACAACACTCTTCCTTCTCTTCTTCAGCTGGCGTTCCGGCCTGTGCCAAATATCAATGCTACAAATCACTCCCCCCTCAGAAAAGGAGCCATCCTGGCGACCTATGGAACGGGTACGACGGGTGGGTCGTAGTGCGGCTTCAATCGATCTACGTGAACAGTCTCGCGGCCTCGATGCCGTCGGTCTGTTGATGGTTGAACCGGCTCAACAATATAGTTAACCGGTGAGGCCTGACGTAGGACTCGGTAGGGGCCTTCGTACTTCGGCAGTAGCTTGGTGGAAAGACCAGGAACAGATGAGGGAACCCGAAGCCATACCAAGGCGCCAGGCGAGTATGACTGCGAAGACAGGTTTTCGTCGTGACGGTTCTTCTGGTACGCTTGATCTTGGGCGGTTAAGGAACGCGCGAGTTGCCTGCATTCTTCTGCATAGGTGGCGACTTCAGATAGAGTTGTGGATTCCGAAGCGTCTGGATGATACAAGAGAATGGTGTCCATGAATGAGGAAGGTTCGCGCCCGTAAAGGAGGAAGAACGGAGAGAATCCTGTCGTAGACTGAGTGGCGCTGTTGTAAGCGTAAGTTACAAAGGGTAGTATGCGGTCCCAGTTGGTGTGATCAGCGGACACGTACATGGATAGCATGTCGCCCAGTGAGCGGTTAAACCGTTCGGTCATTCCATTCGTTTGCGGATGGTATGCGCTGGTTGTCCGATGCACAACGTTGCATTCGCGAAGAAGGGCTTGTACCGCTTCGGAGAGGAACGTACGGCCGCGGTCACTGAGTAGCTCACGAGGCGCGCCATGGCGTAGAATGAGATTGTGAAGGATAAATAAGCCAACTTCACGTGATGTGGCCTCTGGCAGCGCAGCAGTTTCAGCATAGCGTGTCAAGTGATCAATGGCGACAATCACCCAGCGGTTCCCGTTAGGCGTATAGGGAAGGGGACCGTACAAGTCAATTCCGATGCGGTCGAAAGGGCGGGAGGGGCAAGGCAACGGCTGCAGTTGTCCATTGGCTATGTGTGGTGGGCTTTTTCGGCGTTGACATTTGGAGCACGAACGCACGTACTGTCGGACAAAGCGGTACATTCCGCGCCAATAGTACCGCAGCCGGAGACGTGCATACGTTTTTATCACACCGGCGTGGCCGCATTGAGGATCCGCGTGAAAAGAGTCGCAAATGTCGGCACGTAGGTGGCGAGGAATCACAAGCAACCACTTGCGGCCGTCAGAAAGGTAGTTGCGACGGTACAGGAGTCCATCGCGGATGGTAAAGTGTCGAGCTGTGCGCTGCAGTGAACGATTGGGCGTAACTTGGGACGGCCGAGACAGTAACTCTATCATAGAGGCTATCCAAGCGTCTTGGCGCTGTTCATAGGGCATGTCCGCGTACGAAAGTGCCACAGCATCGAGGCTGGATACAGAAGTACTTCCGTGTTCATGGGGAAGTGGAGAGCGGGAGAGAGCGTCGGCATCTGAATGTTTGCGGCCTGACCTGTAGAAGCCTAAACACACCAAGTCTGCCAGTACGAGACCCTCGTTCAATGAAATAAGGGAAAGAAGTGTTACCTAAGGGCTCGTTTTCCGTGTTTTTAACACAATAATATGAGATATAACAGACAGTAATGCCAAGGAATGGACAGGGAAGTATTAACATTAATGGAATGTAAATAAGAAGAAAGAAAAGTGGATGAAAAAATTACCAACTGTAAGCAGGAATCGATACCTACGACCTTCGAATTACGCGTTCGATCGCTCTAACCACTGAGCTATTAAGCGGCACTCCGTCCATCCACTTTTTGGGTTTATCTGTGATTTTAGAAGTAGGAGCGACAGTCAGCGCCATCTATAAGCCAAACAAACGAGTGTGAAAACACTCTTATGCGCATGTTTGGCGTCACGTAGCACGTGAACTTATTATGGTGGGCAGCTGATTAATTGTTCCTCTTATACAACCTAAAACACACCAAGTCTGCCAGTACGAGACCCTCGTTCAATGAATAAGGGAAGAAGTGTATACCTAAGGGCTCGTTTTTTCCGTGTTTTTAACACAATAATAATGAGAATATAACAGACAGTAATGCCAAGGAATGTACAGGGGAAGTATTAACATTAATGGAATGTAAATAAGAAGAAAGAAAAGTGGATGAAAAAATACCAACTGTAAGCAGGAATCGAACCTACGACCTTCGAATTACGCGTTCGATGCTCTAACCACTGAGCTATTACAGCGGCACTCCCTCCATCCACTTTTTTGGGTTTATCTGTGAATTAGAAGTAGGAGCGACAGTCAGCGCCATCTATAAGCCAAACAACGAGTGTGAAACACTCTTATGGCATGTTTGGCGTCACGTAGCACGTGAACTTATTATGAGTGGGAGTGATTAATTGTCCCTCTTATACAACCTAAACACACCAAGTCTGCCAGTACGAGACCCAGTGGTTAGAGCTCAGGGTTAGAGATCGAACGCGTAATTCGAAGGTCGTAGGTTCGATTCCTGCTTACAGTGTAAATTTTTTTCATCAATTTGTGCTTCTTTGACGTTAATCCATGAGATGGTTAACATTCAACAGTTCACTGCAATTGGATGTACAGGGGCAATTATAATTCATTAATGTAATGTATAGAGAGAACACGAAAGTGGATTAAAAAAAACGAACTGTAAGGTTATAGCGACTTACGTCCTTCGAATTACCTTCGCTTCTCATCTAAAACCACTGAGCTGTTACGCGTCACGCCCTCCATCCACTTTTTTGGGTTTAGGTCTGTGTTTAAAGAGGGACAATAATCAGCTGCCCAATCATAAAGTTCACTGCTACGTGACGAAAACATGCGCATAAGGAGTGTTTTCCACTCGTGTTGGTTATAGATGGCGCTGACTGTCGCTCTACTCTAATTCACAGATAAACCCAAAAAAGTGGATGGAGGGAGTGCCGTGTAATAGCTCAGTGGTTGAGCATCGAACGCGTAATTCGAAGGTCGTAGGTTTCCGATTCCTGCTTACAGTTGGTAATTTTTTTCAATCCACTTTTCTTTCTTCTTATTTACATTCCATTAATGTTAATAACTTCCCCTGTACATTCCTTGGCATTACTGTCTGTTATATCTCATTATTATTGTGTTAAAAACACGGAAAAACGAGCCCTTAGGTATACACTTCTTTCCCTTATTTCATTGAACGAGGGTCTCGTACTGGCAGACTTGGTGTGTTTAGGTTGTATAAGAGGGACAATTAATCAGCTGCCCACTCATAATAAGTTCACGTGCTACGTGACGCCAAACATGCGCATAAGAGTGTTTTCACACTCGTTGTTTGGCTTATAGATGGCGCTGACTGTCGCTCCTACTTCTAAATTCACAGATAAACCCAAAAAAGTGGATGGAGGGAGTGCCGCTGTAATAGCTCAGTGGTTAGAGCATCGAACGCGTAATTCGAAGGTCGTAGGTTCGATTCCTGCTTACAGTTGGTAATTTTTTCATCCACTTTTCTTTCTTCTTATTTACATTCCATTAATGTTAATAACTTCCCCTGTACATTCCTTGGCATTACTGTCTGTTATATCTCATTATTATTGTGTTAAAAACACGGAAAAACGAGCCCTTAGGTATACACTTCTTTCCCTTATTTCATTGAACGAGGGTCTCGTACTGGCAGACTTGGTGTGTTTAGGTTGTATAAGAGGGACAATTAATCAGCTGCCCACTCATAATAAGTTCACGTGCTACGTGACGCCAAACATGCGCATAAGAGTGTTTTCACACTCGTTGTTTGGCTTATAGATGGCGCTGACTGTCGC